CGGCAGCATGGAGCTCTCCCCGGCGTCCGGAGGAGCCGCCGAGGCGCTGTCCTGGCCGGAGATGTTCCCGGCTCTGGAGTCCGACTCGCCGCTACCCCCGGAGGAGCTGGACGCGATCGTCCCCGTCAGCGGCGCCGTGGCTGGTGGCATGTTGGATCGGATCCTTCTGGAGTCGGTGTGCCAGCAGCAGAGCTGGGTCCGGGTGTACGGTAAGGACCGCGGGCCGCCGTGGAGGCTGGTGTCTCTTACCTTCGCTCAGGCTGGAATTCATTCCCCAGCTAGTTTCAGCCGCGTTCTCAGCTCCCGTCCGTTCTGGGCCGGTTTCCCACGTCCCTTTCCATCCCGGGGTGCATTTCTGACAAGTTTCTCCAGACTAGCCTTAGGGTAGAGAGACGTGACTCATTGTGGTCTTTGGACCTTTTCAGGCACCTGCCCTAAGTTTAAGGTTGTGTTGAGCCACGCAGGACTTAATTCTTAGGTGATTGCTTACAGGGAACTGTCAACAGATCTTCAAGAAGGTCTGATGGAACACGCCATGAAATCAAGTGAACGGGGTTCCTTTTCTTTCTCTTGTTGGAGGCGAGGCTGGAAACCAGGATATTCTGAAAAAGCATAGCCAGAGTATATATTTGCTGGGAAAAGACTAATCTGTAACCTCTTTCTGAACCTCACTCCAAAGGCGACCGCTTAGAACAACTGGTGTGGACTGTTTGAGATTGCACTATTGTTTCTGGCTCCCTTTGTAAAGTGGCTGAGTGGCAAGTTAAAAGTGATGAACACACTAAAACTTTCCCTTTCTTCATTCCTAGTAACCACCTCTTTAATTAAAACTGAATGATGAGATCCTATTAGGGTGAGCCTTGTGGCCGCATTAAAACCATGCTGGTTTTGAAAACACATAGCTCCAGGATTTATATATAGCCTGGCGATCAGGACTAGGCAGCGGATTTCCAAAATATTGGAAGGTCAGGATGTTTGTCACTTAGCTCACATGGACACAAAAGACATGCACAATGTTGCTGAGTCTAAGATGGCAAACTTGAAGCACCTGGGATCAAATGCAATGTTAGGATGTTACGCTGCAGGTATGTGCATCTGAGCCTGTAGTGATCCATTACGTTTTCTTTATTCATCCTTCTGAACAGGGTATGTGTTTTCTATTCAAGAGTGACCGAGACTTAGAAATTGTCTCTCTAGATAGTTCAGCTGATTTCAAGACGTCAGGTCCCTCACACCAAATGCCTATGTGATTTGGGGCAGATCAGGTCACTTTTCCGACCTCTGTAAAATTCCTTATCTGTAAAATGAGTGGATTGGATTAAATAATCTCTTAATGGTCCTTCCAGTTCTAAAAATCCTGCAGTTCCTATAACCAAATTCTTAAGGATATATGTATGTTCCACTTTGTATTTTGCTTGACATTTATGTGTTTCTCGATGTTATTCTCATTAACTGGAAGAATCCGAGCAAAGAAGTGGGAGAGGGTGCAGGGTCAATCCAGTTCATTCTCAGCCGATTAAAAACTTTCCTGCCTGATTTTCCATCCACCTGCTAATCCCACTTAGCTGATAGCTTATAGCAGAGGTTGATGAGAATCTGAAAATGAGCTTGAATTCCAGTATATATTGTGGTTACAACATTTCCCCATTCTAGTCGTTTTTCCTATTCTTAAGCACTTCTTTGGCATATATTTTTATATGAAGTTAGAGATAGGTCCATGTTACTGCAAGAATAGGTATATATGATAATTCACTATTGCAGTGTCCAAAACTATTCTGCCTGGGTTTTATAGACCTAGGTTAACTATCATTCTCTGCATGTAACCCATAAAAATGTGTTTGCTTTTGTAGTCCATTTTCTAGGGCTGGATTTGTGAGGGGTGTGTGTGTGTGTTTTCTTAAGTATGTATGTACATATATACACATGCATATATAGTCTCTGTCTCACACACAGTGTGCATTTCAGTGTCAAGTTGCAGACGTTCCACTACCTTGTAAGTTTTTCATATTCCCTATCAATTAACCAGAAGTTGTTTTTATTTATTGTTTAGAACTGCTACTTTCCTTCCTGTAAAGCAACTCATCCTGGATACTGCTTTGTTGTCTTTAGTTTGATGTAAACATTCCAAAACTATCTGAATGGCTGTTGGCTTTTCTACGTTCTTAGGTGGTTTTTAAGTTGCCTATTGTATGACTCTTTGAAAAGCTTTGAAGTAAAAATAATAGAATGTAAAAAAACAGTTTGAAAAACACTAGTTCATTTTGGTGTCCTTGTTTACTTGTTTGTTTTGGGTGTTCAAAATCCTGATTGTTTTGGGACATCTGGATTCTTCTACACTATTTAAAGAGACTTTGATGAGTGTAGTGTAATGTTTTTAAAAGAAATCCAGAAACTGGGAAACCTAGTCTAGAGTATAAAACTGGGGGTTGAGAACTTGGTTTTTCATTCTGGCTTTGCCACAAATTGGTTGTCTGACTTTGGGCAAGTAATTTTAACTCTGTGGGTCTAAGTTTCTACGTAAAATGTGGAATCTGGAGTAATTGGTATCTATGGTCCATTTTAGCTTTAGAGTTGTCTGATTCTATGGTCTGCCCTATTATTTTACCTACAACTTGGCCTTCCAATTTCAGCCTGACTCTTGGGGTGAGGCATCAAGCAAGCCCCAAATGCATTTAAATCATGATTGTCAGAGGATCCTGGGAAGCACTTTTATCAAGAGGTCAATGAACTCAGTTTTGAAAGAAGGAATGTTGAGGGCAGATGTATATTTGTTTGGAATGTTTTCACAAGATAGGAAGGTGGTGATGGGGATCTTGCTCAGTTCTAGCTCATTCAGTTTTGAGACCTAACCTAAAATAGCCATGTGGATTTTAGGGTAGGGTACAGAATAAGGAGCTGTATTAAGTGCTTTTGGCTTCTGGCTATGGTTCCCATGCTCTGCAGAACACTTATGTTTGAAACCAGTATGCATACAAACAACAACAAAAGTACCATCCACCCCAAAGATGATCTTAACAGAAACTCTTAGAAACAATATTTTATTAGTTTACCTCACAGAATTGGAAGACTAGGCACTGTTTTGAGTTTGCTATTGGCAAGTTGAGATATATATATACACACACACACACACACATATATATATGTGTGTGTGTGTGTGTATATATCTACGCACACGTAGATATATATAGATGTAATGTATTGCCATGATTGGAAAACTTTTTTGAAATATGTTCAGAGCTTTATAATAGGTGGATCTATGTTTAGAACACAAATGCACATCTTTGATACTGAGCTAAGAGAAAAATTTATGCTGTCTTCCTTTTCTTTTAGTTGTGAAATGTGTCATTTGTTGTATTTCAGTATAACAATAAGATGTGCCCATGCCCTGTCAAGACTATAAAAGTTTTCACACTAGGGAGTCTGTCTTGTTTATCTTTGCATTCCTATCTTGCCACCCCCTTCATTGTCACTGTGTCTAGCAGATGGGTACCTTGCTCACAGTAAGTCAGTGTTTGTTGATTGTTGATCCATCTGTCCTTTGACCATCCAGATCTCAACCTGACTGATTGTATGGGTGGTAGAGTAGCTTAAACAAAGGCATGCCACAAACAGCTAAATATGGATGCAGAATCCAAGAGCATCAAATGCAGAACATTTTTCAGATATTTATAGCCTCAAAGCAAAGTCAATTGGCTGAAAAAGCTCAGCAGGCTAGCAAAAGGAAACGGGAGCGGCAAAGGCAGCCTCACTGTCTGTGCTTTCTGGTAAACAATGAGAACATTAAAATTAACTACTTTACCATGAATGGATAGGGAGTGTAGGACACCCTTTGGGAGAAATTGAAATACAGTCTGTAGCAGTGCCTTTATTGGAGCGCAGCACCCATCAGTAAGACATGTCTGCAAGTGTGTGCACAGAAGTACTCTTAGAGGGGAAATACAGTTATCTTAATAAAGCAATCACCAAGAAATCATATAGTTTAATACATAATATCAACATTATTGGCTACCAGTTAGCTAGTATACAGCTCATTATTTATTAAAATTTCTAAAGGCCTGTACTATTTCAGCAGGTGGAAGAAAAGGGGAATTAATTATACTGCAGCAAATACCTTATAATTATAGAAATATGACAGTGGGAATCTCATGAACTGGATATGAGTTGATGGGGGCAGAAGTGTTACCTGTTGTAGTAAATAATATTGCTTATGTTTCAGGAATTAAGACAAAGGGTGAGATATATTTTATTCCATTTTTAGATACTTATGTCTCTATATTTACTTTAAATGTTGCAAGCAGTAACAAATCCAGGAAGTTTCATTTTGGTCCAGTATGAATTAGATGTGACTAACTGACCTTACACAAAAATGTTCTTAACAGAATTAACTTTGAATATTCTTAGCAAATCACTTATTCTTACATATCTTAAATATGAACCCCACAATTTCTGTTTTATTTTAATGTGTGAATGAGTGATACCGCTCAAGCAAGGTTAAAGTTTTGTGTGCTCTAGCTAATTGCTTGCTAGAAGAAAATCAGTGAATGTGTATCCAGTACATCCCCAAACATGTTCAGGTTACTTAAGTGTTTTAATTTCCTCAAATACTGTTAATTGAACTTTTACAAATGAGTATTAATACTTTAGGGATTCTTGGGATCTTAAGCTTGAGTTCAGAATTTAGGATGTGGCATTGACTATGAATGTTGACACCATTTCTGGTGATCTCCAAATACATTTTATACACATTAGTAGATAGTTCTTCACCGAAGTAAGAGAACTTTCAAGAATGCCTAGGCATATACTGTTTATTTGAAATTATATTGATTTCAGTTAACCCTTTTTTTCTTCCTTTGAGAGATAATATGTAGATGTCATTTAAATCATGTGTTCTATTAATGTTTACAGATGAAGCACAATTTCCTTTATATCATCTTAGTATTTTTCTATCCTCTGTCATATTGATTTATTGCTATTTCATTTTCAAAGAATAAAAATTATATATATATATATTTAAATATGTCTTTATTGATTTCAGAGAGAGGAAAGGAGAGGGAGAGAGAGAGAAACATCAATGATGAGAGAGTCATTGATCAGCCGCCTCCTGCATGCCCCGACTGGGGATCGAACCCCGATCGCCTGGATCCTGGGTCGACGGCTCAACCACTGAGCCACGCCTGGCGGGGCTAAAAATATTTTTGAAGGATGAAAC